CAGCACATAGAAATTTCACAAGTTTAGCTCCCATGATTTCAGTATTACAGCATATAGAAATCCCACAACTTTAGCTCCCATGATTTCAATATTACAGCATATAGAAATCCCACAAGTTTAGCTAAACTTTAGCTCCCATGATTTTAGTCATCTCTCGGAATTTTGTATAGATAATTTTATTTCCATGTAAATCATGTCCATGTACAGCTATATAAAGCATACTGATTAATGAGAAATACAAGATAATTGTTTCTACCATTTTACTTCTTTACAATAAGCTCCAAATCCCCAATTATTATTCTTCATCCTTAAACCTTAGGTATAAGTTATATAATTTGTCTTCAAAACACTCTAAGATATCTCATATATATGCACAAAATAGGTTTGAATTCCATGAATAAATTGGCTTAGAACATCTCCAAGAAACTATTTAAACGTAAGACGTTTTCTATTTTAAGAAGTCAATTCTCAAATTTATGAATAATGTTATCTAATACCAATCTATGTGATACTATGTGATATGCTCAAATACAAGTAAAATTATGTGATTAATTTAGCCTATATTTGGCTCCTATTTTTTCCACACACACACACACACACAAAAAATCAAAATTCATTTATGACTACACATTCTCCTATAAAATAATTTTACAACCATACATTCTCAACAAAACACTAATCTACATTGCATTTTGCGGTAGAAAAAAATGGAGCTCGGACAATGGCTTAATTGCACCTTTCATTTAATGACACCTTGGGCCACTTAAATTGTGTTGCAATACCAGTGAAGCTAAAACATAGAAAAAAATAATAAATGTTTTTCTAGAGTAATAAAATGTGAGTTTGATAGCAGAATTTGCATGAAAATAAAATAAATTGCATATAGAACTTATTTATGTGAAAATTATTAATTAGATGTATTTGTTCGGTTTAGTTTTAACCTAAAAAATATTTATACTTGTTCATTTTTATTAGTGGGTAGATAAGAGAGAGTGAATTATCTGAAAAGTAAAATCACATCTCCCTAAAGAAAATGATTTCCGTGTTTTTTAGTAAAATATGGTCACGTAACCAAAAGTTAAAAATATTTCTATTAAACAAATTGTTAACCAAACACCTCAAAAGTAAAAGTTTGGGTGAAAAATAAAATCAATCAAAAATACTCTCTAAGTGTTAAAGAACATATGAAAGTACTTAAAAATTTTTACTCTCTAAAGCTATAGATGGTCTCTAAATTACAAAATATACTCTTTAAAATAGAGTCTCTTGAAAATGCCCTTAGAATATCCCACAAAAAAAAAAAAGCACTCATGCCCGAGGTTTTATTATCAATTTCCTTATGTTCTCTATTTTTATTACCAATTTATTTAATGAAAATTAACCAGAGTTCTTCTCAATCTAAAATTAAGATTTACAATTTTTTTTTCCAAAAATTAGATGATCGAAATTTTTAATATTAATGGTATTACTAAAATTAATTTTTATATTCACACCCTACCTCATTCACCCCATTCAAACCCTAAATAATTTTCTCTTTCTTTTTCTCTCTTCTTTCTTCCTCTCCCATTTCTCTTTGCCCTCTCCCTCACACAGGAATCGTTGTCACCCCATAAGAATGCCACTACTAGAGACTACCCTATTCACTGTGAGCACCACTGTATAGTTGCACATTGTTGGGTTCCAATTTGATGTCCTTAGAAACACTAATCTCCCATTTAATGTCCTCCAACGAGCAGAGGTGTGGTGATCCATAGTATGAAGATGTGCGGTGGTCTATTGTAGTGTGGCGGTGGTGATTAGTACATGCTATGGTGTGTGCAATGATGTTAGCTAGTGGTGGTGGTACAATGGGTGGAGGTGGGGTGCAGCAATGATGGTTTTAGAGTTTTAGTTTGGTTTCTTCCTCCAACTTGTTTAGTCGGAGTTTTAGGGGTATGCAGTGATGGTGGTGATATTGGTGGTGCATGAAGGGTAGGGTTCAACGACAATTGTTTTAGAATTTTGGGTTGGTTTCTTCCTCCAATCTACTTAATCAGAGTTTTAGGAGTGTGCAGTGTAGTAGTAGGGTGCGATGCTGGTGGTAGATCTAGCAGTGACAGTGAGCTGTTGGTTTTGATTTTTGTTATTGGAGTAATGGTGGTGGTTTCCATATTTTGATGTTGTTGGGGTGGTTTTATTTTCCCAATGCAACTAGGAGTGTTGGCGGGATGGTGGATCTGACGGTGAAGGTGATTATAGTGGTCAATGGTGATGATAGTAGTGGTGGTCATGGACGTGGTTATGGGTGGGATGGCATGGAGTAAGAGTGTTTGTGACCAATTATTTAACTCAATTGTGACCAATTATTTGACTCAACTGTGACCAATAAATAATATGTGATCAATTATTTGAGATTGTGACCAATAAATTGAATATTTTGTGATCGATAACTTGTGCCGATAAATAATATATGACATAAAAATTTAAATTTTGATTTATAAAATTTGTTATTTATGATCTATAATTTTTTTTATTTGTGATCGATGAAGAAATTTTAATCTATAAATTTTTTTTATTTGTGACCTATAAGATTTCTTATTCTTGATCAAAAATAATAATTCCATAATTTGGGACTAAATAGTATAGAGTTGTGACCTTAATATATTAAATTTATTTTTTCATAAGTAAAATTTAATCAATACATGATTTTTGAAATTTTAAATCTTGTTTTTTAATTTTGAAATGGTCCAAATTTAACCCCCTTTGGCAGTAAATTTTCACCCAAAAAATTAATTTCTTGATTGTTATTTCATTATTACAACCGTCATTTTTATTTCTTCACTCACGGATGGGATCCATTTTTCTCTCTGACGGTAAAAAAATCAATTCTCATAATCACTATCGAACAGATCCTTAATAACTTAGATATGAAATTTTACCATTTATTTAAGCTTGAGGTTTATTTATCTTATGGTCACTGATAAGTGTATTTTATACACTTATTCAAGACATTAAAATAATGATATTTAGTTGCTTCTTTGATGAATTGTGGTATAAATTGTTGCATTTGGTGTTGAATAAGTAAAATTCAATTATGGTACAAGAAATTGGAAGAAATAAGAGGAAAACCCGAAAAATGAGCAAGATCCAAAGTTCGGGGATCAAAGTGTAAGTACTCAAAAGTTGTGTCGAACCTCACGATGAAGATTTAAGAGTGCTTGAAGTCAATTGGATAAAGAAAGACGTCGAAGGAATTAAATATAATCAAAGTATAATCACACATCAAGTTCCAACAAAAAAAAAATGATTCACCGTTTTTCAGCTTTATATTGAGACCCGATTTTGACATAGAAAATAATCAAATTTGAAAATGATATCTGAAGCAAAGTTGTAGCCCTTTGAGTTAGCTTTTCAATGCATCTTGAATTGCTTCAATCGAATATCGGAAGAAAAATTATGATAAAAATATTAAATGAAGTGCGGTCTGACTTTAGTACCCAAAAGGTGGCGCCGCCTAGGTCTAGGGCACTTCTTTGGTCCATTTTGAAATCCAAAAAAATTCTACTTTCTACACAAACAATGAGACACTTATAAATACAATTTTTTTCACACATTGAGACGCAAGAAAATACTATGAAGAATCTAAAGAGGAATTCAAGGGAGAAAACATCGAGAAATTCACTCTGTGGAGCAGTGATTGGAAGATGTAGAAGATCTTAGTGCAAGAATTTTAATCTTTCTTCTACATCTTTACTACAAATTCGGTGATGTATTTTAAGACAAATTATTGTTTTTCTTCTTTCGTTATAAATAGCCAAATCCATTGTTAGTGCGAATAGTGTGATCAATTGGGATTTTTTATATTTTTCTATAGAAAATTATTGATTTTTATTGTTCCATGTGTTGATTTTACTATGGATTGAATGCATTTTATTACTTGATCACTAATTTAATGATTTCGTGAATCCTCTAAAAATAGAATATAAGTTTTGGATTTAGACCATGTAGTAAAATTCGGTACATTGGTATAAAGAGTAGAGATACATATACTAATTACTACGATCATAATTGAATTCTTAGGACAAAAACTTGTTTAATTAAGTTGAATTTGCATGGAGATATGGAATTTAATTAATTAAATAGGTTCAATGAGAACTCGAGAGGGGTAAATTGAATACAATAGGAGAATTTGACCAAACACTACCTTTTTAAGATGTAAATGTGACCAATAGGTAAAGTTTCTCTGCCCTAACATCCGTCATCATTTGATTTTCAAGCTAATCGTGAGTGCATTCCTTTTTTTTTCTTTTTTTTTTTAGCATTTAGATTAAAACCCAGATCCTACAATTTTTTTTATGACGCAGGAACCCGCAGTCACAACTCTTCGAGTGCGCACTGGGTAAACCCTCGAGCTGACGCAATAACCTGCAAACCACACCAGCCAGGTAAACCGCACTAGACAAACCCGGTGCAATAGGCTCAATCGAGAAACTGTTGGTATGGAGAATCGAACTCATGAGCAAAGGTCTCCGTGCTCACCTACTCCACCAACTCGACCACCCGATGAGGGGCCCAAATCCAACATGTTTTTATCTCATCAAATAGTAGTTAAAGAAAACTTAAATTAAGTGCTAAAGTAATAAAATGCTAAAGTATAGTCCTCGTAGGATGTATAATCCGGACTCTTAGGTCTACCTACTGTTAAGGAAACTGACAATCAGCAGTATACCATACAAGAAGAGGCGTGATTACTTGCTTACAGCATAGCTTAATTAGAGGAAGACTTGATAACAGGAAGACTTGATTACAGCATAATTTTCTTCTGTCATTCCTTAATTCTTTCCCCTTAATCTTGATTCTTTCTTTGTATAATATGTAGACTTCACTGTAAAACTCCTATATAAGGATATGTACTTCTGGTCTTGGAATATATGAAATCAACACCATTTTTATACAATTCTTTCATGGTATCAAAGCTCCTATAGCTCAAGCTAAAATAATTTCCTGTCCTGTTGTTATCAATGGCTTTCGCTTCTACCGTTCCTTTGGTCTTCACTCAACTGAACTTTTCTCAATTGGTTTCGGTGAAGATGGACGGTACCAACTACCTTAACTGGGTCTCACAGCTGCAACCTGTTCTACGTAGCAATGATTTACTCGGATTTGTGGATGGTTCTGAACCCTGTCCTGAGAAATTTCTTCATGATTCTGAAGGAAAGCCTACTAAGTATATTAATCCTGAATATGTTATGTGGATCAAGAAAGATTAGTTTGTCCTAGGATGGCTGAGTGCTACTCTAACAGATAAAGTTCTTCCTTCTGTTTTTGGTCTCACCACTGCCAAACCAGTGTGGGACTCTCTGGCCAAACGTTATGCATCTCACTCACCTGCCCATGTCCAACGCCTTAAGCGCCAATTACAGACACTGCAGCAAGGAAATAGGACATGCACTGAATATTTAGCTACTGCAAAATCTCTTGCCGATCAACTTGTAGTTATTGGTAAGCCAGAAAGTGAGAATGATCTTCTCTTTTACGTGATGGGTGGATTAAATTCAGTTTTTAATCCTTTTGTCACGGCCATTTCGTTTACCTTGCGATAAAGTGCCATGAGTTTTGATGACTTCCAATCAGAATTACTTTCTTATGAGATAATGATTGAAAACCAAGCTCACTTATCCTCCATAGAGCAACCGACATTTGCTATGATTGCTGGTAGAAATTCACATGAAGGAGGGCAGTGGCATAACAAATCAAATTATCCTCCTAAAAGCTCTCCAAGATAAAATTCATTCAAGCCAAAATTTTCGAAGCCTCATCCGTAAGGAAGACCTTTAAAGGCACAAGAAGGACAATCAAATCTGATGCCCATTAGCAATGACAATTCTCATACTCGCACTCCATGTCAGATTTGTGGAAAAAAAGTTACCAAGCCTTGGACTGCTATCATCGCATGGATTACAGTTATCAGGGACAAACCAACATATTACTAATGAAGTTGCCAATTTATCTTTACAGGGACCTTATGCTGGTGAGGATTCGGTGGCTGTAGGTAATGGATCTGGTCTCTCCATTTCCAATATTGGCTCATTTTCTGTCCAAAATCCGTAGAAAGAATTATCCTTTAAATATGTCCTACATTGTCCTAATGCCTTAATCAATTTTCTCTCTATAAATAAATTATGCATGGATAACAATTGTTATTTCATTCTAACCGATACTCATTATTATGTCAAGGACAAGAAAATGGAAAAAAGTCTTTTGGAGGGAACAAGTGAAGGTGGTCTCCATCCTATCAAATTAAATAAAGTTTCTCCTAATAACTTCCGTGCTAGTGTAGCTCTCTTTAGGATCAAAGCTCCTCTTGATGTGTGGCATGCTCGACTTGGCCATCCTTCTTCACAAGTGACCAAGCAAATCATTTCCTCCTTCAAGCTTCCAGTTGCTGGATCCTTATCTCAAGAGTCTGTTTGTCCTTCATATCAACTAGGGAAAAATAAACAATTACCATTTAATCAGTCAAATAGAGTGTTTGTTAATCCGTTGAATCTTGTTCATTCCGATGTTTAGGTTTCTCCTATTCCTTCTTCGAGTGGTTGTCGATATTATGTTATTTTTATTGATGATTACTCACGTTTTACTTGGATGTATCCTATTACCACTAAGTCAGACGTTTTTAATTGTTTTGTCAAATTTAAACATTAGTGGAAAATCTTTTCTCTTGCAAAATTAAACAATTTCAGTCCGATAATGGTGGAGAATATACTTCAAATCAATTCATTTCATTCCTCAATTCTCATGGTATTCTATATCGGCTTATATGTCCATATACATCCCAACAAAACGGAGTTTTCGAAAGAAAACATCGCCATATTGTGGAAATAGGATTATCTTTATTAGCTCAATCCAATCTTCCAAAAGAATTTTAGGTCGATGCCTTCTCCATTGCCATATTTCTCATAAATCGAATTCCGACTCCTGTTTTACATTCTAACTCTCCTTACAATCTTCTCTTCAAAAGATCACCTGACTACCCTCAACTAAAATGTTTTGGATGTGCTTGTTACCCTCTCCTTAGACCCTTTGATATAAACAAGCTCGCCTCCGTAGTAAACAATGCATCTTTATAGGTTATTCATCCAATCATAGAGGTTATCGATGTCTTGATCCCATCTCAAAGAAAGTATACTTTTCACGACATGTGGTGTTTGATGAGAAATTTTTTCCAGCCAAGGATAAGACCATTGTCACTTGTCCACCGGAAGATCCTTCACCCATTACGTGTCCAAGATTTCCTACAAACAGCTCCTTTGAACACAATCACTCTTTCCCCATCGAACCCATATCTCCTACCATCGATTCCCATTACTCCCCACATGACCAAGTATCCAACTCTAATAATTTCGACTCTCCCCGTATCTTACCTCATTTGGACGATTTTTCTCACTTGGTGGAAAATTCTTCACCCATTCAATCAGTCATCTCTCCCATCGAACCCATAGTCACGGATTCCTCTCACCCTTCCACATCATCATCCTTACCTTCAATTGATTCAGTTCCACCTCCCAATCAAATTGTGACAAGATCACAAACTGGTTCTTCACGGCCTAAGCAATTCCCAGATTTCGTTACCCACTACTCGACCCGACATCCCATATCTGCCTTGACCACGATTTCTTTACCTAAAGAACCATTGAATTTCTCACAAGCAATAATTTCTGCAGATTGGAAAAAGGCAATGGATGAAGAAAATATGCTGTTTTACTTGCCAATAACATATGGAACCTTTGTCCCCGACCTACTGGCCATAATATTATTGACACTAAGTGGGTCTATAAGACTAAACAGAAGGAGGATAGTTCTCTTGATCGTCGGAAAGCACGCTTGGTGGCTAAGGGATATAATCAAATTAGTGGCATTGATTTGTCTGAGACCTTTAGTCCTGTTATCAAACCTACCACTGTTCGCATTGTTTTGACTCTTGCTGTACACTTTGGATGGTATATCAAACAATTAGATGTGTCCAATGCCTTTCTTCATGGCACTCTTGATGAAGAAGTTTACATTTCTCAACCTCAAGGCTATGTTGATCCACAACATCCACATTATGTATGTCGACTTAATAAGGCCCTTTATGGATTAAAACAGGCTCCTAGAGCTTGGTTTAATCGATTCTCTCAATGTCTGGTGGAACTCGGATTTATAGGATCTATGGTTGATCACTCTCTTTCCACTTATCACCAAATTGATGTCCATATTTTTATTTTGGTCGATGTGGATGACATTCTTATTACAGGATCACATAACTCATTCATTGCCTCATTGATTCAACAATTAAAATCTGAATTTGCCTTGAAGGATTTGGGGTCTCTCCATTACTTTCTTGGAATTCAAGTCACCCGTGACTCCCATGGCCTACATCTCCGTCAATCCAAATACATATTAGAGGTTTTAGATCGTGCTCATATGATTGGTGCCAAGCCATATTAGCACCATGTACCTCAGGTTCAAAGCTTGCTGCATCTAGTGGTGATCCTCTTCCTCGTGCCATTGAATATCGTCAGATTGTTGGTGCTCTCCAATAATGCACTCTTACCCATCCAGAAATTGCTTACTCTGTCAATCAGCTTTGCCAACATCTTCACGCTCCTACTACTACACATTGGATGGCCGCTAAACGGGTCCTTCGCTATCTTAAAGGAACGATTGATCATGGCCTTTCTTTCATCAAGGGAAATCTTCACTTACAAGCACTTAGTGATTCTGATTGGGCGGGTGATTTAGATGACTGCCGCTCCACCACAGGCTTTGGTATCTTCTTAGGTCCTTGCTTAATTTCTTGGTGTGCAAAGAAGCAATCGGTCATTGCTCGATCAAGCATTGAGGTGGAATATCGGGCTTTGGCAATGACTGTTGCTGAACTCTATTAGATTAGGATGGTACTTAAAGATTTACTGGTTCATCTTCAACGTGTTCCAACTGTTTGGTGTGATAATTTGGGTGTTATTGCCCTTGCTTCCAATCCCATTTTTCATGCTCGCACTTAGCATGTGGAGGTGGATGTTCATTTTATTCGGGAGAAAGTTTTAAATAAAGATGTTGTTGTTAAGTTTATCTCTACATATGACCAAATTGCTAATATTTTCACAAAGGGCCTGACTTCTTCTCGGTTTCCCTACCTCAAGGCCAAGCTCATGGTTCGTCTTCCCCCTGTTCGCTTGCGAGGGAATGTTAAGGAAACTGACAATTAGCAGTATACCATACAAGAAGAAGCGTGATTACTTGATTACAGCATAGCTTGATTAGAGGAAAACTTGATTACAGGAAGACTTGATTATAGCATAATTTTCTTCTGTCATTCCTTAATTCTTTCCCCTTAATCTTGATTCTTTCTTTGTACAATATGTAGACTTCACTGTAAAACTCCTATATAAGGATATGTACTTTTGGTCTTGGAATATATCAAATCAACACCATTTTTATACAATTCTTTCACTTCCTACATTAAAGATTTTAAGTTATATTTATGAAAAAACTAGTAAGCTAGCTTGCATGAATTTTTATTTGAAACATAATGAACTAGTAAGCTAGTCACTACAAATAATAAATCCAGATGACCATTTTATGACAAAAAAGGATTCGATTTTTAGTATTATTGTTTTCTCCTCCATTCTTGAAGTCTGGACATTTAATTTGAGGAGTGTTGTCAAAAACTATAAATCTGGTTTTTGGAGTAAATTATACACTCTTCTCGGACAGGATCAATCATGTTCTAAATCGATCCAATAATTGTCTAAAATTGATCTCTATTCTAATTTGTGAGCAAAATGATCTAATTAAAATCTTGGAGTAGCGTAGGAAGGTGAACTTAATCTCATCCTACAGTGGTCGAGATATATAAAATAGGGAGTACTTTTTTAATCTTTTGATTTAGATTTAGCCCTATTTGACAATCATTATTTCAAAAAAAAAAAATTTTCTACACGCTCATTTTCAATCATATATTCACACAATAAAATATTCTGTACGTAAACTCAATTTTTTATTTTTTATTTTTTATTTTTTTTTACTTTTTAATCAGACATTATCTTAAAACTCACCGTTCAAAACATTATTTTCCCCAGATAATGATCATCACACAGGAGCTTAACTGAGATCACTTATTTTGTAGATCCAAAATTAACGTGAGGGACTGCAATCTTTGTGATTCTTAGTGGATTTTTCAAGTCAAGAGGGTTGGGGATTTCCCATTGACCATTTTATCTTATTAATAGATTTTGATAAAAATGATAAAATACGTGGTTGATAACCGATAAAAGTTGGAAGTCTCATAAAATGTGTAATTTAGATTAAAGTTTGACAAGTTGGTTTTAGTAAAATTTTGTCAAACAAGGGCTAAATAACCATATTTATTCCATGAAATTGACTTTGAGCAAAACTGAATACTGGAAACTAAAAGTTTCAAGGTAAATTCTATGTATTATTCCCTGTGTACAGAAAAAAATTCACAGAATGTTTACAGGGCTTTCACATGGGGGTGGACCTCATGTGAATATTTTATTGCAAAAAATAAATCACACCACCCTACTGTTGTGGGTTATCTATAAGACTAGATTGGTTAAAATTCCACTGCATATTTTTCCTAATTCACAACTTTTGAATGACCTCCACTTTCATCTAGAAATCCAAGTTGAAAAAAATAATAATAATAATAAATAAAATTAAAAATTAAAAATTCAATCGTTCGTGAAGTCCATCGCCTTGCTTCAGTCCATCCACAGCATAT